GAATTAAAGTCCACGCTTAGAAACAAAGGTCATAAATCAAACCTGAACAAATATTTAATAACTGGAATAATCTCCTGTATCTATCCTAACAGACTGTAATGGAACAAAATTAGAAACCAATATCAAGGAAATCCACAAAAATACCCAAACTCACAGAGATTGAACAACACACTTTTGAATGATGAATGGGTCACTGAAGAAATTAGGAAAGAAATTAAGAAATTCCTAGATGCAAATGAAAATGAAGACACAACTTACCAGAACCTATGGGACATAGCAAAGCCTGTCATAAGAGGGAAGTTTCTAGCCATGAGTGCCCTCTTCAGAAAACTAGAACAACTGCAGATAAATAATCTGATGACATATCTCAAACTATTAGAAAAAGAAGAGCAAGCCAACCCCAAGAGTAATATACAGAAAGAAATTACAAAACCAGAGCAAAAACAATACAATAGAATCAATAAAACAAAAAGTTGGTTCTTTGAAAAAATAAATTAACTAAAAGAAGAAAGGTGGAGACCTGAATTAATAAAATCAGAGATGAAAAGGGACCATTACAACAGACACCAATGAAATTCAAATGATAATATGGTAATACTTTAAAAACCTATACTCCTACAAATTGGAAAATGAGGAAAAAATAGGTAAATTTCTTGACACATGACTCACCAAATTGAACCAAGAAATCACTAAAAACTTAAAGAGATAATATAACAAGCAATGAGACTGAAGCAGTTATAAAGAACCTCCCAACAAAGAAAAGTCCTGCTACATTCACTGCTGAATTCTACCAGACCTTTACAGAAGAACTAACACCCGTACTTCTCAAACTGTTCCACAAAGTACAAAGGGAAGGAATGCTATCAAACACATTCTAGAAGCCAGTATTACCCTAATACCAAAGCCAGGTAAAGATGCATTAAAAAAAAAAGAAAGAAAGAAAGTTATAAGCCAATATCCCTGATGAACACAGATGCAAAAATCCTCAATAAAATTCTTGCTAAAAGACTCCAACAGCACATTAGAAAGATCATACACAATGATCAGGTAGGTTTCATTCCAGGGATGCAAGGATGGTACAAATACTCAAATTAATAATCATAATGCAACACATAAACAGAATACACAAAAAGCTTTTGACAAAATTCAACATCCTTTCATGATAAAAGCTCTGAAGAAACTAGGAATAGAAGGCACATTCCTTGACATTATAAAGGCTATGTATGACAAACTATCGCCAACATCATACTAACTGGAGAAAACTGATACCATTTCCTCTAAAATCAAGAATGAGGCAAGGGTGTCCACTCTCCCCACTCTTATTCAACATAGTGTTAGAATTCCCAGTCAGAGCATTAAGTCAGGAGAAAGAAATCCAAGGGATTCAAATAGGGAAGGAAGAAGTCAATGTGTCCCTTTTTCCAGATGATGTGACCTATACTTCAAAGACCCTAAGAACTCAACTCAAAACTCTCAGATCCCATAAATACTTTCAGCAAAAGTAGCAGGATACAAAATCAATACACAAAGATCAGTAGCATTTCTATACACAAATAATGAACGCTCTGGGAGAGAAATTAAGAAAACAGTATCACTCACAATACCTTCAAAAAAATTAAAATACCTAGGAATAAATTTAACCAAGGAGGTAACAAAACTATACAATGAAAATGACATGTTGCTAAAGAAATAAATGAAGACATCAGAAGATGGAAGGACATCCCATGCTCATTCTGCTCATGATTGGCAGAATCAATACTGTGAAAATGACTACACTACCAAAAGGAATCTGTATGTTCAATCCATTCCCTATCAAAATTCCAATGACATTCTTCACCAAGATAGAAACGTCAATCTTAAAGTTCACATGGAAGCACAAAAAACTTCTAATAACCAAAGCAATCCTGAGCCAAAAAAGAAATGCTGTAGATATCCCAATACCTGACTTCAAACTATACACGGAGCCATAATAATAAAAACAGCATGGTACTGTTTTTATTGACGAAGACCAATGGAATAGAAGTCACACAAACCCATGCAACTATAGCCATCTGATTTTTGACAAAGGTTCCCAAAATATGTGTTGGAGAAAAGGCAGCCTCTTCAACAAATGGTGCTGGGAAAATTTCCACCTGAGAAGACTGAAACTAGACCCAAGTTTCTTACCCTATCCTAGCACCAATTCAAAATGCACTAAAGATCTTAATGTAGGTCTGATATAGGAAAAAATAGGGAACACAGTGGACCACAAAGACATAGATAGTAACTTCATGAATAGAACTCCAATAGCTCAGCAATTAAGAGAAAGTACTGACAAAAGGGACTGCATAAAACTAAAAAGTTTCTTCATAGCAAAGGAAACAGTCACCAAACTGAAGAGACAGCCTACACAATAGGAGAAAATATTTGCCAGCTAAACATCTGACAAGGGATTAATAACCAGAATACACAGGAACTCAAAAAACTAATCGCTCAAAGAATCAACCCACTGAATAAATGGACAAATGAAATGAACAGACAATACACAAAGGAAGACATAAAAATGGCCAATGAACATAAGAAATGCTCAACATCTTTGGCCAAAAGAAAATGCAAATCAAAACGACATTGAGATTCCACCTCATCCCAGTCGGAATGACAATCATCAATAACATAAATGACAACAAATGCTGGCAAGAATGTGGGGAAAAAGGAACACTTCTGCACTGTTGGTGAGGATGTAAATTAGTGTAACCACTATGGAAAGCAATATGAAAGTCCCTCACAAAACTAAAATTAGAACTGCCTTAGGCTCCAGTGACATCTCTCCAAGGCATATATCCAAAGGAACATGCTTCAGGATATGAGAGAGCCACTTGCACACCCATGTTTATTGCAGCACTATTTACAATAGCCAAGCTTTAGAAGCAGCCCAGATGCCCCACAACTGATGAATGGATTAAGAAAATGTGGTGTATATATATATATATATATATAAACACAATAGAGTTTTATCCAGTCATAAAGAAGAACAAAATTATGTTGTTTGCAGATAAATGGATGGGACTGGAGAATTTCCTGTTAAGTGAAGTAAGCCAGGTTTAAAAGGTCAAAGGTTGCATATTTTTCCTCATATATGGAAGCTAAACCTATAAGTTAAATGTATATATAGATACATATATGATCATTTATATAGTGAGAGAGAACAAAATTGTATTTGTGAATCTGTCTGAGGAGACTACAGGAGGTGGAAAAGGGAAGGAAAATGTTAGAGGATGAAAAATACTGAAACTCATCTATATATGAATATAATATAATGTCTGTACTGTAAGCTGTTGAGTATTGGGGGAGCATTGGTGATAACGAATGAGTAAGTAATGGGGGTATTTTATTAAAGCACAATATATACAGGCCTGAAGTACCAAGGTGAAACTGCCTTGGACTGTCAATATACTGTTTAAAAAAAAAAAAAAGGGCAGGAGGATAATAGGTCTTTTCTCGGGTGATTACCAGTGGGAGGTAGGTGGGCATAAGGAAAGGGTGAATGAGGATAAATACAGTGGATGCATTTTGTGTTCATATATGAAAACAGAAGAAGGAAACCTGTTGAAATTGTTCTGGGGGGAATAGAACGATAGAATGATGGAGGGTAAATCTGAGATACACTATAAGCACATACGCATTCCCCTATACAAATATTACATGCCAATAAATTTCTTAAAATAAAATTTAACGCTGTAGATTTAAATAGGAAAATATAATCTAACTAGAATGCCTGTAAATAGCAAAAGTACGCAGTTGAGGCTGTAAGAGTTATCTGCATATAGATGCCACAGTGAACCTCATGTGATGGTCCATAATTCCCCACACACAATATTTAGCTCCAGCACAAGGTGAAGAGGACCACATCTTTACTTACACAGCCTCAACTCTAGTTCTGCCTCTGTCTCTATGATCTTGGTTGTGTTATATCATATGTAACTCTATGTCTCACTTTCCTTGCCTGTTAAAAGTGAAAAAGTAATAGTTCTTACCTTACCTCATAGAGTCTATGCAGAGTATATAAATTCCTAGGCATATAGCATTTAGAACACTTTCTCATACACAATGAGAAGTCAATAAATGTTTGTTTCTCTTAATCATTTGGTATCAATCATTCTAGGTATCAAAAGAACCTAGAAAAGCGTTTTTGCTGGGTATTGTGGTGTGGATATAGTGTCTCCAGCTCGTGGTGCTACTGAGATGTGATGGACCATGAGGGTGCCAGCTTTCTCAGTTGATTAACCCACTGAAGAGTTCCTAGCTAACTGAGCTGTTAGAAAATGCAGCCCAGTTGGATGAAGTAGGTCTCTGAGGGTCTTTGAAGGGTACCTTGTCCCCTGCCCTTTTCTCTTGCTTTCTATTTCCAGGCTGCAGAAATAGAAAGTGAGCAGATTTCCTCCACCCTGATCTTCTGCCATGATGCTTCTGCCTTGCCACAGGCCTAAAAGCAAGGGAGCCAGTTGAGAATGGACTGAAACCTCTAAAACCATGACTCGAAATAAACCTTTCCTCTTTTAAGTTGACTTGCTTGGATATCTGTCCCAGTGATGGAAAGCTGACTAGCACTATAGATAACAGTTCTCAGTTTCAGTGATTTGAAAATTCTTGCTTTCCATAATATTCAATCATGAGTAAATTAACATTAAAAGTATCTTATAAGCTAATATACAAAGGTAGATTACATACCTATATCTGGCACCTGTCCTATAAATACTGAATTTAGTGACATATTCAACTGTATAAGTTAATCACAAGAAAATATAACAGGAACAAAAAAAGTACATTTTAAATGACATTGAAAGTATTTGATATTATTTTACTAATTTTAGTAAATACCTTAAAACTATTCGACACCTTTAAAACTTAAGGTACAATTGGGTGGAATGTGTTGGCTAAATGAAACAGAAGTTTTAAACTTAAAATTGTTTCTGTGAGAAGTAACATTTCTCCAAAAGAAATGCAGATATCTTCTTCGGTACCTGTGAGCTGACCATGCGCTGAGATGAGCGAGCAATGTTAGCAGGGAGACCAAAGAAACTAGGTTTATCATCCTCTGGAAGTTCTTCAATGACAGCACGATAGTCCTAAACACAAAGAGGCAAAAAAGTTTCCATCAGAAATTAAATTTACCACCAACAAAATCAGGAAGAATAGATATTATAAAGTATTAAATTATTAGGTATTCATATTTTATATTTTCTCAATAAATCTCACTGTCCTTTAACTCAGTTTTCTATAGGAAATATTCTACAGTTGACATTTCTCTGTGAATTAATTATTTTATACTCTATTTTCTTATCCCAGCTCTCACATTGAAGGGACCTGAACTGATCAAAACAAGCACATCTCAGGAGCTGTGCCTGCTATATATAAGATACTGTTTTAGATGTTTTTAGAAAATCTCTGAAACTTCTTTTCCCACAACTTATGGAAGACCAGTCTTCAGAGTTCAGCTCTACTTGTGTAGAATGAAGACAAATATTCTAGCAATCTATTCTCAAAACTTAAGAGTAAACCTAGCCATGCATCAGTGGCTCACACCTGAACTTCTATCCATTTGGGAGGCTGAGATCAGAAGGATCTGGTTCCAGGCCAACCTGGGCAAACAGTATGCAAGATCCCATTGCCAAAATAGCCAGAGCAAAATGGTCTGGAGGTATGACTCAAGTGGTAGAGTGCCTACTTTGCAAGCACAAAGCCCTGAGTTCAAACCCCAGTCCCACCAAAAGTAACAAACAAAAAACCACTTATAGAAACCCTGTAAACCTATGGGATACACTCTGGTATTCAAAAACTGCTTGTAAATCACTCTATCCTAAAGCAGTTCCACACTTAGTCTTCAGTTTGCTTGTGAGCTGTGATGAAATACGTTGGTAATCCTACCATGTCATCCTAAGACTCACTCTAAGCATTGTAGAAGCTTGCCTTGTTGGAAAGTCATCTGAACACTTGTCCACTCGTGCCTTTAGAAAAGTAAGCTAGGAAGATTTACTTATTTTGGCCCAAAGGAAATTCTTCTGTTTGTTTTCATAAAGAGATAGCTATTTTAGTTTGCCCTGAGCTGTGTTTGCCAGGTAGGGGGCGGAGATCATCCTATGACTTCCCTTCATCCTTGGCAGCTGTCACAGAAGTATTTTCCAGGACACAGGTGACTCCAGGAAGCCCAGGGCCTGTAAATGTGTCTTATTTTGGAAAGACAAGACATGGTGTCCTTTGAAATTCTTCTGTTCCTTAAGCTCAACAATTGTAAATTCCATGTTCATTCACAATGGATAGCAGTCTATGCATAATGGGTACGTGAACATGTACAAATCACATGGGTTCATTTTTTCCCCCACCCTGGAAAGCCAGCATCCTCCTCCTATCTGATTGTCATAAATCCTATAAAGTTAAAACTATTACCTCTTGGGTTCCTGGTTCATTTAAAAATACCTGTGAATTCTTATCTAAATTGGTTGGAGTCTTCTATCTGCCTAGAACATTACACTGACATGTTGACTAAAAATCTGACAGCCACATATCCAGACTAACTTATCTTCACTTGGCAACAAAAGGAGAGTTACTATATGATATCATTTATGTAACCAGCACAAAAATAAGCAAAATTAATCTAGGCTATTAGAAATCAGTGTACTATTCCCTTTGTGTGTGGGGGTGGGGCAGGGTAGGTAACAACTAGAAGGGAACAGAAGAAAGGCCTCTGGGGAGCTAATAATGTTCCATTTCTTGATTCTGTGCTGGTTATACTCATGTTCACTGATCAAGAATTCACCACACTTACAGTTATCATGTTCATATGTCTGCATCAATTTAAACTTTAAATAAGAGAGGAAAGACTTGTCAGGGTGCACTACCTTAAAATATTGAATAAATAAATGTGATATGGTGTTTTATTATCCACTCTCAGATTCTCCTAATAGAAAGAAAACTCTGCACATACATCCACAATGCTTAAGTAGATGTGCAGTGTATATTATTGAGTAAATGGGCAAATAAAAGACATTTAAAAGAAAAAATAGATGTGGCAGTCATTAACAAAAGATATTCAAAAAGAATAATACATTTAACATTGATTTTCAAACTCGAGTTTGTGACAACAAAGAATTATCTTTCTTGTGATTGAAGCAAGAACTACCTCAAAATATTCTGGGGAGAAAAAGCACAAAAAGAGAGACTACAGAATCATATATATACATATATGTCTTTGTAATACATGAAGAAATATAATACTTGATATAAGGCTGGAGACGGTGGTACATGCCTGCAATCCCAGCTACTCAAGGGACAGATTGAGACAATCACTTCAAGGCTACCATGCAAAAAGTTAGCAAGACCCCTTCTCAACAAATAACCTGGGTGTGGTGGTGTGTGCCTGTAACTCCAAATGTGTGGGAGGCACTGGCAGGCAGATCAATGTCCAAGGACAGCCTGGGCAAAAACAAGAGACCCTATCTGAAAGAGAACTAAAGCAAAAAGAGCCAGGGATATGGCTCAAGTCTTAGAGCTCCTGCCTAGCAAATATGAGGCACTGAGTTCAAACCATAATCGTGCCAAAAAAATTTGATGTAATAAAATATTTGGGCATTTACAGAAATATAGGTTTATGATAAACTGGAATTAAAATCGTTGGGCTATGTTTAATACTATTTTCTGGAGAAGATGGCTGCATGCATTCCAAGAGCCTTTCATGTGGTGCCTTGAAGCAAAACTGCAGCTTGCTAAAGGAGACACAAATGTTACAGACAGGTAAAGTGAATTCCTTTGATACTTTTAGACCTATTTTAGATTTATAGGCCAGAAAGCAAAGATGGTATTTGTTAAGGAATGTCTGACTTCTTTTGTATTCTGGGATGCATCAGAGCATGCTCACGCCTATTAGGAAGTGGTATATCCACCCATTCCAGTTTTTCACTGTAGCCCTACATTCTTTGAGTTACTGCAAGATTTACTGACACACTAGCCTATTGACCCTATGATCAATCAGTCTTCAATACATACCCAAGAGTTCACAGGGCTCTAAACTTTACTACAGTTTAGAGAATCAGGCCATATAGTGACAAAACAAATAATATGTACTGTGAATAATTACTTATACTTTTCAAAAGTAATAATCTAACGGTGCTAAGAATTGATTCAAGAATTCACAATACCTGACTTCAAACTATATTAAACAGCAGTAACAATAAAAACTGCATGGTACTGGCACAAAAACAGACATGAAGACCAGTGGAACAGAATAGAGGACCCAGATATGAAGCCACACAACTATAACCAACTTGTCTTTGACAAAGGAGCAAAAAATATACAATGGAGAAAAAGCAGCCTCTTCAACAAAAACTGCTGGAACGGAGTGGGTGGTAAGGGAGGGGGTGGGGGCAGGGGGGAGAAATGACCCAAGCATTGTATGCACATATGAGTAATAAAAAAATAAAAAATAAAAAATAAAAGAAAGACTGAGAAGAGATGGGAAAGAAGGCCATCAAGAGAACACTTAGAAGACAATATGCAACAAGCATTTGTACTTACAATCTTAGCCATGGGAGAAAAATAAAATAAGCACAAAACATCAGAATATAGTATGTAAACTGTGTTAAGTTAGACCTTGAATAGCACTGTTTTTGCTGAGAAAAATGTGCTGTGGGAAAATAAAATAAGAACACCCCCCCAAAAAAAAAAAAGAATTCATCTGATACAAGTAACAGATTGAAAAGTATTAATTTTACCTACCAAAATGCTGCAGGATTTCGGTAGAGATATGGAATATGGAAAAATACTTTTCTTATTCCTTTGGTTTAATACATCAATTACTGAAGAATTAAAAAACTGTTTCAGGTATGATTGAAGAACTCTAAGGTCAAAATAGTTATCTATACGTCCTCCATAAATAGCATTTTCAAGTAAGCCATGTACAAATTCCCACTGTACATCTTTGGCACCTATAATTTAAAAAAATATTAATATCATTTTAAAATGTTAACTAAATTACTGGATATAGTAACATTTATAGATAAACCAATATATTTAATACAACTAAAATATTTCTTTAAATGATCAATATTAACAGTAGCTAATATTTAAGCAAGTAAAAATTTCCAAATATTTTATGCTTATAAACTCAGTTTTTGCAAACACACGAAAAGTACTAATCAGAGAAGTAAACAAATGGAGAAGCTGAGGTATAAGTGAGTCACCTAAATGAGGAAAATCACATAGTCCCATGGATCTGTATTGGAAATGACGTATTCTTAATACAGAATCATCCTCTTTTTTTTCTGCCACACAATACTACTTACTTAAACTGGAAACTCCTTAAAAGAACCTGTCCAAAACAGTGTGTGGTATTGAACGAATGAGCAGAGGAATGTCCTATTCCTCCCTATTGGGTTTAATGAAACATTCAGTTCATAAAATTGTCTAAATGATTAAAAGTAGGGAAACCCTACAAAGCACTTTCACACAATAGCCTTCTATGTGGTATGATTTACATAGTCAACCGTCCATTTTCTAGTCTAATGGAAGAGAAATTATTATAGAAACACAATGGGCTGGCAGAGTGGCTCAAGTGGTAGAGCACCTTCCTAGCAAACTTGAGGCACTGTGTTCAACTTCCCATACTGCCAAAAAGAGGGGGGAGGGAGGGATGACAGGGTATGTATGTGAGTGGCAGGGTGCTTGTCTAGAATGTGCAAGGCCTTGGGGAGGGGAAGGGTTGATCCTCAGCACCACAAAAACAAAACCCCCACACAATGGTTTTGTTTATGATATGGTCTTATATTGCAATAGAGACATTCTCATATTCACAATTCAGTGATAACGTTGAAGTATGAGAACTCCCAGACCTCCATAAATATAGGAAACACATGACTATATTTAAACTAGCTAGTTAACTTTTTGTTAGAATTGCTTCTTCAGTTCTATTTCATCTCTATAAAATTCAGAGAGCCACAAAAATTGATAGCAATGCCTTAGCACATTATATTGAGATTTATATTGTCTCTGGCAGGATAAGGGTGCCTATACTGTAGAGGAATAGTTAAAATTGCTTCCTGCCTCTATCTTAATCAACAGTAACTAAGTAGAGGACTCCAGCAATATTCAGTTTTCTCAGTCTACCTTGATATTTGTGAAATGGAAGGTAAGAAATAGATATGCAAGTCACTGGTAAGTAGTTCACCAAGAAATACAGAAACATAAATGCACCTTTTGATTTATAAAATAGAAGTGGCCATCATGTTTTATGGAAATTTTATAAGAAAATCTTATTTTTTCTTATACTTATTGTTCTCAAAACAAATTTCATGTTATTCGAGACAAAAGAGACTGAGCAGAATTCAAATTATCATAACAATAATAAAGACCACAATGCTTCACCCAGACCTTAAGTGCAGAAGTGTCAAAGGCCTGTGTGGCTTTTCCCATCTAAACCCCACAACAACTGGGCAAGCTGAGATAAAGCCTACTGTTACTTCTATTTTACAAACCTGAAGCTGAGATTTAAAGTTAAGAAACTTTCTCTAGGTTACACAGCTATTAATCTCTTTATCGATTGCCTTGATAGAATTTTTTTCCTTTTTTGAACTTAATTCTACAGATAAGGAAATTTTATAATCTTAAGATTATACAATTAGAATTTTACCATGAGATTCACTATCATTTTAGAGCATCTGACTTTTATTTACAAATCAACAGTGTGATAAATATAAAAATCACAGGATTCAATCACAACCTAAAAACACCATGATAAATTGTCCAAACTCTGTGCTTTTGTTCCCTCATCTGTAAAATAGTGCTAGTAATACTTGTCACTTGGTGGTACTATACAAGTCTAAAAAATGTTCAAGAGCATTTTGGAAAATTACCAAGTTTCTATGCGGGTATACTATTAAGGTATATCCTTCAAAAAATGTCAAAATGAACATTAAAAGCAAGAACTCAGGGAAGCCAGGCATGCAGCAACCCTTGCATGAGCTGGAGGAGTGCTGGGTCTTAAGTAGACGGGAGTTGGAGGAGGTGCTCTTGGAATGGTGGCGATTATCTTTTCAAATTTCAGACCAGATAGGTTCAGTTTCTGAAAATCTGTGTGAAGCGTACATGTATGTACATATTTCTGATGTATGATTCAAAAGTTTTTAGTTAAAACTCACTTGGAATATTATTTGGTATTAAATATTAGTGGTGAACAAATGCAAATCCTATAACCTAGGATTCCACTCCTACATGTACACTCCACAGAATGTATCCATACATTCATACAAAGCTACAGTGTATTACTCAAACCCCAAACTGAAAACTGTCCTGTCCACCAGCACTGAGACTGGACTACAACTACATGCAGCTGTGTGGAATGAACTAGCACACACAGGGTTAGCTAGAAGAACCTATTCCCTGAAGCACATATGCCGTAGGATTCCAGTTTTACAACAAGCAGGAGAAACTTAGCTATACAGTTACGTATTTGAAGTCTGCTTCAGGAGCAGCACTACATGAAGTGTAATCTGGCTACTGGAAATGTTCTATTTAGATCAGGATACTGGCTACATGGGTATGTTCATTTAACTGTAATCTTATGATATAAATCACACACACACACACACACACACACACACACACACACACACATATTACACTTCATTTAAGAGAGTTTGTAACCTTCCATATAAAAATTCAAATGGGACTTGGTCATATTCTAGGTGTCCATCCTTACCATTTTGCAAACACAAGCTGCAGAATAGTTTCTAATACCTGTGATAGACTAGATACTGTTACAGCTGTTAAAGATACAGACAGTAAACAAGACAAACACCTTGCTTAATGTAGATTACAGAGTAGATTAATGTAGATTTCAATGTAGTGGGAAAAGAAACAAAATAATAAAACAAATAAATATGTCAGGTAGTACTAATGCATTAAAACAACAAAAACAAAGAGGATGAATAAAAGATTAATTTTAGTTCAGTGCTAAGAAAAAGCCTTCTGAAGAGGAGCCTGAGATGCAAATGACAGGATGAGGAAAGCACGTAATGACTTGAGAGAAGAGCATGTCAAAAGACAAAAGGACCATGCTGTTTTTTATTGTTATTGCTTTGTAATATAGTTTGAAGTCAGGTATTGTGATACCTCCTGCATTGTTCTTTTGACTGAGTATTGCCTTGGCTATTCGTGGCCTCTTGTGTTTCCATATAAATTTCACAGTAGATTTTTCAATCTCTTTAATGAATGTCATTGGAATTTTGATGGGAATTGCATTAAACATGTAGATTACTTTGGGGAGTATCGACATTTTTACTATGTTGATTCTACCAATCCATGAGCATGGGAGATCTCTCCACTTTCTATAGTCTTCCTCAATCTCTTTCTTCAGAAGTGTATAGTTTTCCTTGTAGAGGTCTTTCACAGCTTTTGTTAGGTTTACACCTAGGTATTTGATTTTTTTTGAGGCTATTGTAAATGGAATTGTTTTCATACATTCTTTTTCCGTTTGCTCATTGTTAGTGTATAGAAATGCTAACGATTTTTCTATGTTGATTTTATATCCTGCTACCTTGCTATAGCTATTGATGATGTCTAGAAGCTTCTGAGTAGAGTTTTTTGGGTCTTTAAGATATAGGATCATGTCGTCTGCAAATAGGGATATTTTGACAGTTTCTTTACCTATTTGTATTCCTTTTATTCCTTCTTCTTGCCTAATTGCTCTGGCTAGGAATTCCAGTACTATGTTGAATAGGAGTGGAGATAGTGGGAATCCTTGTCTGGTTCCTGATTTTAGAGGGAATGGTTTTAATTTTTCTCCGTTAAGTATAATGCTGGCTGTAGGTTTGTCATATATAGCTTTTATAATGTTGAGGAACTTTCCTTCAAAAAACTGAAACTAGATCCATGTATATCACCCTATACCAAGATTAACTCAAAATGGATCAAGACCCCAAACTCTTAAGTTGATACAAGAAAGAGTAGGAAATACTCTGGAGTTAGTAGGTATAGGTAAGAACTTTCTCAATGAATATCAGACCCCAAACTCTTAAGTTGATACAAGAAAGAGTAGGAAATACTCTGGAGTTAGTAGGTATAGGTAAGAACTTTCTCAATGAAACCCCAGCAGCATAGCAACTAAGAGATAGCATAGATAAATGGGACCTCATAAAACTAAAAAGCTTCTGTTCATCAAAAGAAATGGTCTCTAAACTGAAGAGAACACCCACAGAGTGGGAGAAAATACTTGCCAATTATACATCAGACAAAGGACTGATAACCAGAATATACAGGGAACTTAAAAAACTAAATTCTCCCAAAACTAATGAACCAATAAAGAAATGGGCATGTGAACTAAACAGAACTTTCTCAAAAGAAGAAATTCAAATGGCCAGAAAACACATGAAAAAATGCTCACCATCTCTAGCAATAAAGGAAATGCAAATTAAAACCACACTAAGATTCCACCTCACCCCTGTTAGAATAGCCATCATCAGCAACACCACCAACAACAGGTGTTGGCGAGGATGCGGGGAAAAAGGAACCCTCTTACACTGTTGGTGGGAATGTAGACTAGTACAACCACTCTGGAAAAAATTTGGAGGCTACTTAAAAAGCTGGACATCGATCTACCATTTGATCCAGCAATACCACTCTTGGGGATATACCCAAAAGACTGTTACTCCAGAGGCACCTGCACATCCATGTTTATTGCGGCACTATTCACAATAGCCAAGTTATGGAAACAGCCAAGATGCCCCAGCACTGACGAATGGATTAAGAAAATGTGGTATCTATACACAATGGAATTTTATGCAGCCATGAAGAAGAACGAAATGTTATCATTTGCTGGTAAATGGATGGAATTGGAGAACATCATTCTGAGTGAGGTTAGCCTGGCTCAAAAGACCAAAAATCGTATGTTCTCCCTCATATGTGGACATTAGATCAAGGGCAAACACAACAAGGGGATTGTACTATGAGCACATGATAAAAGCGAGAGCACACAAGGGAGGGGTGAGGATAGGTAAGACACCTAAAAAACTAGCTAGCATTTGTTGCCCTTAATGCAGAGAAACTAAAGCAGATACCTTAAAGCAACTGAGGCCAATAGGAAAAGGGGACCAGGAACTAGAGAAAAGGTTAGATCAAAAAGAATTAACCTAGAAAGTAACACCCTCGCACAGGAAATCAATGTGAGTCAATGCACTGTATAGCTATCCTTATCTCAACCAGCAAAACCCCTTGTTCCTTCCTATTATTGCTTATACTCTCTCTACAACAAAATTAGAGATAAGGGCAAAATAGTTTCTGCGGGGGTATTGAGGGGGGGAGTGGGAGGGGGTGGAGTGGGTGGTAAGGGAGGGGGTGGGGGCAGGGGGGAGAAATGAACCAAGCCTTGTATGCACATATGAATAATAAAAGAAAAATGAAAAAAAAAAAAAAAAAAGAAGACAAAAGGAAGGGCACCTGCTAAAGCCTACAGGTAATAAGTGCAGCCATAGAGGAAAAAAAGCCAACAAATGTGGCTATAGGTTTTAAAGAGAAAAACTATATGCTTTTGTGTACTTTTCTATTAGATAAATTAGTGTGCAGTAAGGAGAATGTCTGAATGGGTACCTAAGTAGAAAGAAGAACAGGGAAGAAGTTACAATGTATACTACTAAGGCTTTCAGGAAGTTGAAAAGAAGTGAACAGAATCACAATGCAATTTGGAAATGGAAAGGACAGAAATTACCAAAGCACTGGGTGTTTAAGTAAGAGGAAAAGAAAACAGGGTGGTTACAGGCTTTGAACTTGGAGAAGTGATATGAATGTGATGCCGTGCACTGAAGCGGGACAGACTCAGGAAGAGTGCTTGGGAGGTGGCAGGGTTGGAAGAGGGTGTAGACAGAGTTCTCTTTGTGACATTTTTAAAACTAAGATTTCTACCTATCTACTCTATTCTGTAATCCATCGTTGGTATAAACTTTAGTGTCCCCTTGCCTGAGCCCTGTACAGTAAGCCTTGGGGATTAGACTCCTACTGACTTGAAGGATGCAAAGATCAAATTATATGGTTTTATTTGCTGCACTATTTCAGTGTATCTGTACTCTAGTTCTTAATAGTCTTAAGACTCTAGAAATCCTTGGCACTGACTTTAGAGAACTATACTCCTGAATTTTAACAGTTCCCTTAAAAGAGACCTAAATAATTCAGCTGAAGTCTGAGCCTTTTGTAAGTCACAAAGTGATGATGAGGTCTTTCTAGCTTTCTGCTTCCTGAGAGCTACAGATCAACCAGAAATGTGACGAGTGTTTATCACAACCAATGACCATAAGAGGCAATACAGGAACCCTCAGGTAACAGATGTGGCAGTCAGGATATTAAAAAGCAAGAAGAAAAAAATCAAACTTGTGATAGGAACTTAAGACATTCTTGAAATAACACATTGTCAATAACACCGCAAGTCACAGCTATTGTTAACACGGAGATGGAAATTCCCATTGTTAGGACTCACCATCAAAGAGCCTGTCAATGATGTTGTACCCAGCCCGAAGATCTGATAAAGAAAACTCATAAAATTTGGTCCAACCCTATCAAAAGAAATACAAAATGTAGTAAAGATTAAGCTGTGTTCAAAGACATATGTATACATCACTATCCTCATAATTTTAAGGAAAATGTTCAATATACACTAAAAACATAACTTCTGAGACTTTTTAATAAAATCAATATATATTTAAAATAGTAAATTAAAAAAATCTACTGACCTCTGAAGCATGAAGAGTACTTTATGATATCATATTTACTTTTACCATTTATATACATATGCATATATATATTGCAATAATTATAGAGAGCAGGTTTCTTATTCTACATACTGTGTGCACATTAACATATTTCCTGATTTTATGCCGTATAGCTATAAATTTTACCTGTAAAATATGGCAAAGAAAAAGAGTTCCAAAAGCATTTAAAACTTATTTTCTATATATTCATGCATATTGAATCCAGAAAACATTCCTATAACTAAGAGCTAAAGTGTTTATGTAAAAGAAGATTCATAGTGTTCTACATTGTATATAGAATAATATGAAACAAAAACAATTTTTATGGACATACATTAATTATAAGAAATTATGTAATAAAATAAATTCAAACTAAAATGTTTTAGACTTGGATAGTATTAGTATTTAGGAATACAAATTTCATACATTCATCATTCAAAAACTTTCTGAAACATTTACTACAGGTGAGGCTCTGGGAACATAAGAATAAACGCAGTGTAAACATTCTCTGCTTTCATGTAGCTTTCAGTCAAATGTAGGGATGCATGAGGTGGAGACAATCACTCCAATACATGCATGACTACAAACTTAGTACTTCTGATAGACAGAAATATACTTGGTATATATAAGAATGAGATATGACCCAATCTAAGAGGTGAGGAAAGCCGCCCTGATGGGGAGGTGAGTAGAACAGAAAGACAAAAGAAAACAGAATTAAGAACTTGTTAGGAAAAAATTAACAAGTTGTATTGGATTGTAATGGATGGTGAAGATACCAGAAGGAGAGCTGTTAAAAGAATGATCCCTAAACTTATACTAACCCTGTGTACTCAATGAGTGTTGGCTATTCACTGATAAGAATACCAAATGAAAATAAAGTCTGAGAAGGAATGATGACATCAAACAATGAAAGTTTTACAATATTTTTAATTTTTTTGCAGGGGTGCAGGTTTGTTTTTTTTTTTTTGACATGCCAGGGATTGAACCCAAGATCTCACACATTCTTGGGAAGTACTCTATCACTGAGCCGCACCTCTGCCCAAGAAAATTTTAAAGCAAAGTACACTCAGCAAAAACTTTTTTCTGTTGCAGGCACTGTTTGGTCAATGACAATATGTGCTCACATGAAGCCTGTATTCTAGGACTTGATCCAGAGTAGAAGGATTTTCAATCATTTTTGAGCTATCCAAATAACTCAAAATAGCTCAAAATTTTCTATGTCAAATGAGTCATTGGATATACACACTCAGACCTTAAAGAAATGATCTGAGCTACACCTGTACAGGGCAAGAGAATTTGAATAATTATCTTAAAAAGATTAACATTATGAACATTTTGAAATCAAAAGAGATTTAAATCTCTAAGTTACAAAATGTTTAGGAATTAAAGATCTTTAAGGGGTATGTTCCCACCAGCAGTAAATTTTCTAAAATATTTCAACCAAACTTTCTACAAACTTAGTCTTAATAACATTTATTAATCACTCTATTAGACCATGTTTGTGAAAAAAAATTTTTTTTAAAGATCTACTTTACTTTAAAAATGAATACATTAAAATCCCCAAATGAGAAGATTGCTGCTATCAATATTATTTAATATATACATAATGACATGGTCTCAATTCTATATTCTATCTACTTTTACCTCTAATTTTATGATTTTTATGAGAGAGACTGTGTGGAAAAAGTGACAATCTCAACTTTTTTGTGTGGGAAAGTGAACTGATTTGTCTTCTGTGACAAACAACTTGGCAATATTAATGAATTTCAAAAGATTATATATATAATCTCTCTCTATATATATATATAGAGAGAGAGAGAGAGAGATACACACATTTAGGACATTACACATTTAGGAATTAGCTAGTATTCATTGCAACAGTTTCTCATAGTAGCAAAGGTTGAAAAGAATGTAACTTAAAAATATGTACATCAATATAACATAATATAAACATTTATAAATACACATTAAGAAGAAATACACTTGATTTGTAAGATATGCTCTTTCAAAAAGCTGCAGAACTCTGTCATATGATGATATGAGTTACAAAGAACACAAATGCATACATAATCAAAAAATGTTTTCATATTTATACAGTATTTCTGAAGGACAGTCAAAAAACTGCAGTGGTAACCCTTCAAACAGAATCTAGGTGACAGGAGATAAGAAGGGAGAATAATTTTTTAGTGCAAAACTTTACAGCTTTTAAATTTAAACTATATGCATGTATCAATGCATAATGAAATTTACTTTTTAAATATGACTCTTATCAATAAAGTTATATCATCATCATTATTCCTCATCTATCAATTAGTACTAATTGCTACATTTGGCCAAGGGCCAATGTCAGAGAAGTTAGGAGAAGGTAGAAATGGCCATTTCAGAACGAATTCCTGAAAAAGTTGACAATACTAAAGTTCGTTTTCTTTAGTAAAATGAAATTAATAAGTATACATTCCCCATTAGTGTAGTATGCAAATTACATGAAGAAATGTAATATGATTATTATTTACTATGTCTTCTATTGGGCAAAATATTTATTGACAGGGTATATGCCAGACACTGTATTAAGAACTTCCAAATATACACTATTTCATTTCATTCCATCAACAAATGTAAATATTATCATAATTCCCATTCTATAGTCAAGGAAACCAATGTTTATTGGAGTTATAGTGGTTTTTATGAGATCACACAGCTAGGAAATTCTAACCAGAACTCAAACCCAAGTCTGTCTAACTCTAGAACCTATTCTCTTATTTTGACTTGTAACAAAGTAGAGAAAGAAGATAATGGGTGGGAGGGGGCCCAGCAGAAGTGGGCAAAGTTGGAAAAACAAGCATGGGAAAAATGTGAAGATGGGAGTGTGATATAATTTGTGGCTGAGGTAGGCACACAGCAAGAATTGAGCATTAGTACCAACTGTGACTGCCAGGAAAGTGCAACTTACTCTAATATTAGTTCACAGCTAGAGCTTATGGGAGAGGGCTTGGTGGAAATCAAAATCTTGAGAAACCAATCATGACTGACGAGTAGAGGACACTTACGATGAGGGGCTTGAGAGGAGGCTGAAGAGATGAGCAGATCTTTTCTCTAACCTTGGTAAGAAATTTGCGTAACTTCCCCCAAGTATAATAAAAATCCTTTTAATGAATTTTCAGCCAAGTAATGGAATAATCAAACTCACAGAAAGGTAGTTCTGACAGCTGAATGCAAAAAAAATAAGGATGAGCAGCTCAAAGGCAAGCTCAGAGAAGTACTACAGGTGGGAGTAGATGAGGCTTGGGAAAAAACAGGTTAGAGTAGTACATGGATTTGAATTATATTTTCAAAGTAGATTGGTACTTGACAATGGATTGAGTAGAGACCTTAACAGAAATATATAAAGAAAAACTCCTAGGATTCTACCCTGAGAAAGTAGGTGGGTATCAATGCCTTTTACTGGGAATATACTAAAGGAAAAATAGGTTTGGGGATTCAGCTTTTGAAGTTTGAGATGTCTGTGAGATATAAATCATAAGAGTGATATCTAACACTCATTGAGTGTTTATGATGGGTCACAGATTGTTCTTAATACTTTAATTCAATGAGATGTGAAGTAGATAAGTATGTACAATCTAGAAGATTATCACAAAAGGTTAAATTTATGAACCAGGAGCCAAGTTATAACATTGTAGCTATTTACACTAAATTGTAAAAATATTGTAATAAAACACACAGTTGAGGCCATATCCAAAACATGTTCTTAATTACCTGTGGAATGTAATTTCTTCTTTCTTGACATGCAGCGTGAAACCAAGCAAAACTAAACAAAGCCTGAGCTCGATGGATATTGTCCTTCTTGCTAATTTGCTCAGGAGTCCAAGACTCATAAGTGCGCATTAAATTCTTTTTCAAACCTGGAGGTGACTGAAAAAAGAAAGGAATATATTTTCTATTGCCTAAAAGATTACAAATGAAATGAATCCATATTTAACATATTTGAGAACATGTTTTAATAAAGAAAGGTTTTTACCACTTGTCAAGTTTAACTTAAATTATTTTGTTACTTTGAAATATAAAAACTATAAAACTAAGTTTTAAACACCTTACATCTAGCAGTTCATTTCAATTACAAATCTAGAATATTTTTCAAAATAAAGTCTATTTAACTAATGGTATTCAAAATAACCAAGTAAGTTTTTTATTTTCTGATGGTTGACTGACAGAAAATCACTCTTTGCAATACTAATGTTATAGTGATTATTATAGGGCAAGTACTTTTGAGTTTAAAATACCAGATATCCCTCACAAGTTGCTCCTTGACTAAAACATACAGGTTATATACAATGTAAATTAATTTTCCTTTGACATTAGTCCTCTAAAGCTGAAACGGTTATTTCTGATATTGTTAGGCAACTAAACACAAATACCAACTCAGGAAATAAAAGTTTATATTGAATTAGCATTCAGTCAAAAATACTCATTCACATGAACCAGATCTGTTATGTGTGTGTGTGTGTGTGTGTGTGTATTGTGTATTATATATGTAAAATATCAAAATGATAAAAGAATTCCAATACTTAGAAAAATAGCACAATAAATCCCCCTTCAAAGAGAATTCTAATGTAAAAACAAAAGTCAGATTATTAATATGGATATGTCTGCCTAATTTAGCTTATTTTAAAAGTACAATCTTTCTTCCAAAATAGGATTCCTACACAAGTACAATACTAGTTGGTAGTTTAAGAATACTTACAAAGGCCAGACAATCCTTTTTGCTTACTGAATAGGCTTTTTCATTAGTATTTCTTAATTACCTTTTTGTTCTAAATAAATATACATTATCATATAAATAAGTATCTGTTAAATTTATCATTTTAAAATGAAATGTTGTTTATTGATCATTTACAAAAACTGATCACCACGATTTAATAAAGCATGACATTAATAAGAAATTAAGCAACCACACCACAATCTTGAAGAGATATATCCTCACCTATGTGTACAGTACTATTTATAAAGCCCATCAATGGATGAAAAAAGAAAATGTGATATATATATATATATACAATGTAATATTATTCCAGCTTTAAAAAGTGAAATCATGTCATATGCTAAGACATGGGTGAACCTTGGGGTTATTCTACTAAGTGAAATCAGCCAGTCACAAAAGATAAACACTGCATGATTCTACTAAACGAGATACCTAAAGGAGTCAAACCTTCAGCAGTAGAGAGCAGAATGGTGGCTGTCATGGGTTAGGGGGAAGGAGAGACTGGGAATTATTTAATGGGAATCTACTTTTGGGTATGCACCTGACTGTGTCATCTGATGTTATGTATATTACACCTCATCTAAGTATCACAGGAAGTTTTTATAGGTTTTGTATAATAGACAATATTTACAAAGTTTTAGAAGGCATGGATAGATTACTGCTGTCAAGCAACTAGTGTCCCAAGTTGTAAATCTTCCTACCTCATATGTTATCTTCAAACTTGACTGTAGTAAAATAGGAGTAAAGTTGGGATGAACTTCTGCAGTGAGCCAAAGACGAAAGGTATCTTTAGGTTGAAGAGTATTCAATTCCTTACAAAAACAATACAAGTCTACTTAAATATATACACATTTCCCTTTTAACAATTATTAATAATCAAATTTTCTTACTAAAATTTGTGACATTCTAATAGTTATTAGTGTTCTGATGATACTTCCTTTAACTTTCTATCTTCCATCTTACTAGTTTAGTATAATGAACGCAGGATAAAAGTCCTTGAGATCTGTTGAACAATGTAGTACATACATTCAACCCTCTGGTCTAGACACATAAACCTAAATGGTAAAACTACAGTTACCATTTTAGTGTAATGGATAAGAAGTTGGACCTGGAGCTGGTTCCACTCGGTTAAAATCCAACATTTGTCATTTATTTGCTGTATGACCTTGGTCTTTTTTTTTGACCTTGGTCTTTATGACTTACACTGTCTCTAAGCAAGGATAATAATTGTAAATACATAAGATTGTATAAAATCCCTAAAAACAACCCTTGGTATGCCATAAATACAAAATAATTGTTAGTTAATTATAATGGCAACACCTAAACTACTAGCCATCTTGAGGCCTTTGGGGTCTCATTGTTTCAATTCATGCTTCAACAGAGTTATTGATAACAGTATCAATTCCCTTACTGACAACTTTTAGTACTACAGCCTGCAACATCAATCAATACTTCGCCATGCAAGTTCACCATTCCCCTCATATCAGACGCGCTCATCCAGGTATGCCCTTGTTTTCACACACCCCTTCTGCTAATCACTCTCTCGATACCTGACAGCTCTTACTCATCTATCATAACACAACTGTGATGGGTTTTGGGACAGCATCTTGTCCAGCTCTTCACCTCCACAATTTCAGGAAATCACCCATGCCATTTTGTAAATTCTCCTTTGTAGTATGCATCATTACTACAATACAGTTATTGATTATGTGGTGTGTCTCTTCCAACTATTTCTAGAAAACAGATACAAATTCTGTATGACAACAGCTCCTGGCCCAATTCCTGGTTTGTGTTTTTTTTTTTTCTGTAATCAGCAAGTGTGTGTAAATTGAATAAATGAAAAAAAAATAGCTGACAGCATTAAAAGACAGTGAAGATTAAAAAATATTTTAATATACTATGACATTTTCATTGTTATTATGTAAAATGTAGAGGTAAAAAGACAAAAAAAGGAAAAAACTGGACATAAAAACACCATGCTTCTTAAAATTGTGAATGATAAAATGTATTTCTGTTCCATAATTTTAAAATATAAAATTCATAGAAAAATTTGCCTTGGTATAGCACATCTAAACAAAAGACAAGATAAAACAATAAATTTGTGATTTGGTTGGTTTACAATAAATTTTTAAGTTTATATACAATAATGCATCCAAAGTTTCCAAGAGAAAAATTAAATAATCATTTTTAAACTTTAATACAATCTACCCTACATGCTTCAAAAAATCCTAATTAAGATTTTCTTCCAAGGTATTAACACACTTATATTTTACATACATTAGTAGCTATCAGTGAACTATTTAGAACAGAAAGTAGGATTCAAATATTTACCAAGTAATTAACCGGTTGCTATATTTTAAGGCATATATGATTCATCACACAAGAATTTTATATTTTTATATATTAGTGACTTTTACAATAGAATTATATGCATATATTATTGTAGTAGAATTATATAATATTTACATATACTTCAGTTCCAAAATCTATGTCTTCTTGTGATTACAAATAATAAAAGATCATGGTCCATTCACTCAGTCATTAGCTCGTTCAAAGATTTATTGATTACCTATTTTGTGCAAGGGTTGCATTTGTCCATTTATTAAGACTGCACAAATTTAAACCTCACAAACTTAACCCTTGAGGGCTATCCTCAATCTACTCTATTCTCTTTGTTTCTATTATTTTGATATGGTATACAACTTCTGCCAGGTTAATTCAATCATTTAGTTACCAACCCCTGCTAAGGACCTCCTCTGGCTCTCTAAGTCCCAGGCTAAAATTCCAAACTCGGCAGCATCCCTAGGGTATCCCTAACCTAGCCCCTTCCAAATCACCTGACTCCCCATCCCCTCACCCTTTTTTTGACAAAATGATCAGTTTTTTTTTTCTTCATTGTTGTGATGGATGAGGATACATTGTGATATTTACGTGGGTTCTTACAATGTATCAAATATACATGAATTTACCTCTTCTACCATTCTCCTTCATCCCCCTCTTCTGATTCCTGGAATAGTTTCAACAGGTATCACTTTCCCATTTACGTGCATGTGTACACATTTTTTGTACTGTCACCCTCCTACCACCTTTCCTCATCGTTCCCCCACTCCCACTGGTGCCAGCCCTCCCTCCTGGGCAGGACTTGTTCGCTCTCCTGTTCTCCAATTTTATAGAAGGAAAAAGAGAAAAGATAAAATGAAAGACATGACATTTTAGCTTGTTTGAGATAAAGGTATCTACACAGGGGGAGTTTCCTTGTGATATTTCCATGTATATATGTATTATAATAAGCCCAATTGGTTTATCTTCTCCAACTTTTTTCATTCTACCTTAGTCCCTTTCTTATGGTACTTTCAATGGGTTTAAGATTTCTATGTTCATTCTTGTATAGAGAGTATATCAGTTCTATTCAAAAGTTCTTATTTTCCCTACCCCTCCTGTGCGTGACCTCCCCTTAAACCTGACTGCATCTGTCCACACTTCCTTGCCTGCCCTGCAGGACCCTCAAGCACACCCCTTCCTTCTCGAGCATGCACATTTCCAACACTTGTGCTGCTAGAATTAGCCATCATACCCTTTCTTTGTCTAACTAGCTAAATTCCATTCAGTCTTCAAAGACCATCTTCTCTTAGGAGAATCTCTACCCAAGACTAAATTATTTTTCTTAAATGAAAAGAACAGCCTTAAACCCAGATTTGCATTCAAAACCTATTCAGTGATTTGTTTTGTCTTAAGGTTATTTTTTTTCCTGGAGATGTTTTGGTTAAATGAGAGGGTTTCACATCTTAGCCTCTTTAGCACCTACAAAGTTCTGCCATTTCCTCTGACTCCCCTTCCCTTACAAAAAAAACAGAACATGAGCATAAAGGTAAATAGTGGTACAAATCTGTCAATCCTTTAAAGCATCCTTATTATCCTTCTGGAAAAATTCTCTAAGTGTCCCTGTCAATCTTGATTAATAATATCTTGACTTTCCCTATGCAACCCTACAAAGACAAATTCTTATAAAGTTCCTATTTAAAGACCCAATTTGTTTGGTACAAATGTACTTACTTCAGAAGAAAATTATTTTAAAATTATTTCTTATCAAATATTAATTTTAAAAAAATCATTAAGTAGTGCATGATATTTGAATACTGATGCTCCTTCGTGATTACTGAATGATATAGCAGATGTATTTGTATGCTTATCTGAATCTACCTTTTCCAGAACTGGAAGCCAGGATACCACCAGATGCAAATTCTTCAAACACAGCCAATCTCCATTTCGGGCACATTCTTTTAGCATTTGAATTGCTAGATCAGCTTGACCTTGACCCATGGCAACCTACAAAAATAAAAAATAAAATTAAAAACACCGTATCTGCCAAATGTTCTTATATAACCTTTCTCTAATGCAGCCATTTAATGTTAATAATCTCTAAACCTCTGTAACTGGCTGTAATAATAAGTTTGAAAAACAGCCAAACTAGGAATTAGTCATCTTTTCCAAGGACATTAAATAACTAAAAGTTAATATGCATAGCATAATCTTCCTGTCAAAGTTACTGCTAACAGATACAACAGGTAGAAAGGGCTCCTGGCCTTAAGGCTGCTCACTGATAACTGAATATTTTACTAATGAACATATAAACCTCTGCCAATGGATGAATGAAAAGTTCTAGTCAGTGAAAAACCTGCACAACTGAGCCTAAATGCGCTGCTGTTTTGCTATCTTCTATTTATATTATTCCATGTAAAATTCTTGCTTTTCAGGTTTTAGTTGCTATGAAGTATTTGAGTTTTAAAATCAGTAATTAAGTTTCTAATGAAAAAGATTTATTCACTTGCCAAAAACTAAGACAAAACTAATTTTCAAACACAGATGCAAGTTAACTTTTAAAAAGGAGGCACTCAATCAGAACAACAAAAAGCTCCTCAGGAAGAAGTACAGTTTTACATAGGATAAATTTAATTCAGAATGTTTATGTGTTTCTCTCACTTAGATCAAGAAATTACAGGTAAATATTACTGTACTTTATTGTAAAAGCATCCAAATAAAGTTTTAAAGTCAGGACTGGAGGTATGGCTAAAGCAGTGGAGTACCTGCCTTGCAAGTGTGGAGGCTTGAGTCCAAAACCCCAGTACCACCAAAAAAAAAAAAAAGTAAAGTTTTAAAGTCATTCTCAAAAGTTAAGCATAAATATTAGTTTCCTATTGCTGCTCTAACAACCTACCACAAACGTAGTGCCTTAAGTTATCTGAGACTTCTGGAGGTCAGAATCTAAAATCTAAAATCAAGGTGTCTGAGTTTAAAAATTAAGGTAGTTCTACACACTCACTTTCTTTCTGGAAGCTCAAAGAGAAAATCTTCCCCTTCCCTTTCTCAGGTTCTGGAAGCCACTTAGTTCCTTTTTGGCAACTACTCCATCTTCAAAACCAGTAATGTAACAATGTAACATCTTCTCTCCTCCCTGATCTCTACTGCCCTCTTCACAACTCTTACCTTCAGTGTGGTGCCCCTCCCCACCCAGCCGCCTTATAAACAGGCTTGAGATTATACTGGGTCCACCTGGACAATCCCAGATAATGTTCTTATCTCTAGATTCTTAATTACATCTGGAAAGTTCCTTTTGCCATGTATAAGACAACATATTCACAAGTTGTGGGAATCAGGACAGATACACTTTTTAGGGCATTTATTTGGCCTACCACACAAAAATGCCCATTTCACTAATGGGATCTAGTGTGGCAGCAACATCAGGGGCAAAGAGTGGGGCAATGTGCACCCACCTGGTGATAGCACTCTGCGCTTCTTTCAGCAGTAGCAAGTTCTTGAAGTTCCTGAGAAGGATCTGCTCCCGGGGAAATAATGATCAAAATGGGTTCAATTTCTAGTGTCTCTTTGTATAAACGTTTGAGATTTAGAGGAAGTGGGGACAACTCTTTCAGTCCTAAAACATACAGTAAAGAAATTTAAAAATATAAAGCACCATACCATCATTAAAAAGTTTACTGAAATAATTACATGATACATAACAGACAATACCTGGGTAAGTTATAATGTCACATATACAATTTTTCACTGTAAAATCTCCACATACTAACAACTAATGCTTAAGACACAGGCATTTTTATAAAGGCTTTCCATGTCTAGTATCTTCTGATCATTACAATGCTAACAGGTATATCCCAACTGACACTTAACAGCTAGAGAAATACACAGCCAGCATTCATGGTCTCGATTATACAATTCTCTTCGTACAAGGAAGACTGACCCATTCGTCTCTGTACAATTCATTAATTTACAGGACAGCTGTGCCATGTATATGGGGACTCAGACTCCAAATTATCTGGGAAAACAACTTGGCTGTTACAATATAAAATAGGTATTTACTTCTTACACTGAGTGGCCCTGTGCAAATCACTAAAAGGCACCAATGCCTCGTTCCTCAATAGTAAGCAGAGTAAAACAATCCACAAACCCTCTGGGGGTTAAAATAAGCCATAACAATTATAACAATTCTATATTCTCCATCTACTGTATGCTAAGCACTGTATCAAAGAGCTTATTTACCTGCTGTCTAAACCATAAACAACCCTGAAAGACAAATGTTATGCTCACTTTATGTATAAGAAAACTAATCCTCCCACTAAATGTTTTGCCAAAGGGTGCCCAGCTGCTAGTTGTAAGCTGTATTCAAACACAATTCATCTGTGCTTTTTCCACTCTGCAATTACAAAGTACTAGTCAAATAACAAATCATAACTTTCCTATTATATTGAAATCTCTTCTGCTAAAACTTGAATGCTTCCACTATTAACATTGTTAATGAAAAGCTGGAATCAGCCCATTTCAATTAAAAGTTCAAGTATACTTGTTTGAATTAAGCTAAAAATGTAACACAAAAGTTGAAAAACAAAGGGAGGATTAGGAGAATGCAATGTCCAACAGGTGACTACACAGGCAAAGATGGGCTTTGCGTGTCTGTCCTCAAAAAGAGAAATGACAGACAAGACTACACCTTAGAAAGACATTCTTTAAAATAGGAACTCAAATGCTATCAAAATAAGCCAAGAAGGCATTTCTAGGAGTGAAAAGTCACATTTCACATCTGAAATACCCTCTTCTCTTCACAATAGCAACCTGTAGTGATAAGTAAGAATTTTCAGACAGAACTATTCCTGTGACCAGGTGAAATTTACCCCCACCCGCCACTTAAAATTGGTGAATTGCTTCTAGAGGCATAGTTTTATGAACCTTTATTTTGAACTATTTCAAATTGCTAACAATCATGTAGTTTGGGGAGAATAAAAAGAAAATCTTTCCAGCAGGGGGAAAGATTGACCAAACAATGTATATACATATGAATAAATAAACCAAAAAAAAAAAAAGTGAAACACAAGTTAAAAGAAAGAGAAAAAAGTTCTTGCAAAAAAAGAGAAAAGAAACCTTTCATACTTGTAGCAATGTAAATCTATTTGCACTGCTGGTAACCCAGCTACTTGGGAGCAGAGACAGAAGAACCAATGGTTTGAGGCCACCTGGGGCAAAGTCAGTGAGCGCCTATCTCAAAA